ATTTCTTAACAAATAAAATTTTGTTCTTATTATTTTAAAAATTTAAATTGTTTTGAAAAGTGTATATTTTATAAAAAAATTTAGATAATGTTTGTGTACAGTGTGTGTGTGTGTGTGTGTATATATATATAATTTAGTGATTTATATTAAAAAAAAAGGTCAAATACGAGCCGAGCGGCTCGGCTCGTCTTTGGGCGAGCTCGGGCCACGAGCCGAGCACCCGCTCTGCTCATGGCACACGAGCCACGAGCTCGGCTCGTGCATTGCCACGACTATGTTCTGGTGGCATGGTACTTAACTCCTCCATGTTAGACTCGGCACTTCAAGTAAGATTCCATCGCGGGGTGTACATGAGTCTGTAAAAGAACAAAAGAGAACGGATTACCACATATTGTTGTGTCGACCATGACTAAAAGCCGAAAAAATCCCAACATGAAGGTATAATAGTGTCTCTATTGGGAATTTACTTAACTTGCACAGGGGGAAATAAACGAATTTCAATTTTCACCAAGAATTTTCTTTGGGTTTAGAAAGAAATTATACCTTTTGTAAATTCTGCAAACTCATTTGCTGATCTTGGAATAGGAACAATCAAGATCTGCTATCCACAGCTCTCCAATTGTCCAACCTCCAATTAAAATCCACACGGTGAACAAAAATGAAAGAATTAGGGTTTCGCTTTTCATGTACTATCAAGAATATGAATTGTGTTATGTTCTGAATTTTTTAAAACCCAAATGATTTATTAATATAAGTTCAAGTGGGTCTGGCACGTCTCTTAAATTTAACCCAGTCTAAAATTTAATCAATCCAATTAATTAAATCTGGTTCATGAACTAATTAATCCAATTAATTAATTCGGGCATATTAACAAGTAACCTAAATAATTAATTATTTAACACTTGTTAATTAATTAATTTGAATCTCATTCTTTTGGTTCTCCTTTTGTATGTGACCCATCAGGTTCCCGATTACAATACTTGTTAAAATTAATTATTATTTTGATCTAATCAAAATCGATAAATTAAAATGCTCAATTTTAATTTATCATCAGTTTACATATGTCGTCCCAGATGTCAGATGACATCCAGCAATATGTTGGGTAATATATGTGACGAAAAATGTTACGTGGTAAGATAAAACCAAACTTGTTCGTTTACCATGAAACTATAATCTTTTCGTCAATATCACTAATTTGTGTCAATCTATTGACGAAAGGATTATAGTTTCATGGTAAACGAACAAGTTTGATTTTATCTTACCACGTGAAATTTTTTGTCACATATACTACCCGACATATTGTTGGATGTCAATTTGGGACGACATATGTAAACTGATGATAAATTAAAATTGAGCATTTTAATTTATCGATTTTGATTAGTTCAAAATAATAATTAATTTTAACAAGTATCATGATCGGGAACCTATTAACAAATTAGTGATTTGCTCCTATCGTGACTTAATAGTGGGAAGAAAAATATGATCGATAATTGATATTGACACATATCCATATCTTGCCACGTTTGGTCTAATCAATTAGGAGCAAATCACTAATTTGTTTCAACATCACCAATATCTTAAAAACCATCTAGAGATAGTTATAAACCATGGCCAGTAATTTTCATAAGATTTACACTCACGTATAAAATAGCATAAATGGGGGACATAAAATCAAATCTTTTATCCGAGGAATAAAATTTACACACACATTTGACAATAGTCTTGATCTTGCTGAGGAAAGAATGTCTAGTGGATCAATTTTTTTTTTTACACATTTTTCAGTGACTTGTTAATATTAATCCCCATGAATCAATTGAATCAGAGTATGTCTCAAGAAAATGTGAGAACAGCAGAAAACTAGTCCCTCTAAAGTTTTTTAAATAAAAATTAAATTTTTATAAAAAATAATGAAATATTTGGTCGTAAAATTGATAAAAATTATGAGTCTATGAAATGTGCGGTGGAAAAATGAGTTTGAAAAAAAAAGTGATTAATTTACGTCAGCTAGAATTTTGTATTTCTTTATACACAAAAGTAGTCTTCACTAATAGTGGGACTTGGAAGAATAAAAATAAAAGAAAGATATCAATAATAACAGGCATGTTCTCCTGCCCTTGCCCACTGCTGACGTAGCGTGGCACTCGCCACGTCAGCTTTACATTGATTTTTTTTCACCAACTTTCCGTCATTTTTACCCACCCCAAACACCCACCCCACCCTACCCCTTATGCAATGATTTCTTTTTTCAACTTTCCGTCATTTTTACCCACGCCACCCCACCCCACCCCACCCCTTCCCATTATATGTAAATGATTTTCTTTATTTTTGTCTCAATTTTCGAATATATTATGCGATGTCTAACGTAATTGATATATTGTATTTTTAATACCATTTTAAAGTACTCACGACCTAGTTTCTCCCATCTCTAACGACGTGCGAAACGCTCAATCGTAGCAAAAATTATCACTCGTCGAAGTAGGTCGTTCCAAAATATATAAACGATTTTACTTATTTTTATCTCAATTTTCGAGATTATTACGGAATTTCAAATGAAGTCGAAATATTACAATTTTAAAATCATTTCAAAGTGCTCGCAATCTAGTTTTACCCATCTCTAACAACATGTAAAACGGCCAACGGTAGCAAAAGTTACCACTTGTCGAATTAGGTTGTTCCAAAATATATAAATGATTTTTCTTATTCTTGAATCAATTTTTGAGGTCATTAACGGATATCAAACTAAGTTGAAATATTGCATTCTTAAAATTATTTCAAAGTGCTCACGACCTAGTTTTCTTCATCACTAACGGCATACGAAACGGTCAACCGTAACAAAAGTTACCACTCGTCAAAGTAGGACGTTCCAAAATTGATTCAAAAATAAGAAAAATCATTTATATATTTTGGAATGGCCGACTTCGACGAGTGGTAACTTTTGCTACGGTTGGCTGTTTCGCACCCCGTTAGGTATGAGGAAAACTAGGTCGTGAGCACTTTAGAATAGTATTAAAACTGTAATATTTCAATTTCGTTTGACATCCCGTAATAATCTCAAAAATTGAGACAAAAATAAGGAAAATCGTTTATATATTTTGGAATGATCTACTTCAACAAGTGGTAACTTTTGCTAGGATTGATCATTTCACACATCTTTAGGGATGGAAAAAACTAGATCGTGAGTACTTTGAAATGATATTAAAAATACAATATATCGACTTCGTTAGACATCACATAATATATTCGAAAATTGAGACAAAAATAAAGAAAATCATTTATATATAAAGGGAAGGGGTGGGGTGGGGTGGGGTGGGAAGTTGAAAAAGGAAATCATTGCATAAAGGGGTGGGGTGGGTAAAAAAGACGAAAAGTTGGGGAAAAAATCAATGCAAAGCTGACATGGCACCTGCCACGTCAGCGGTGGGCAAATGTTCTCCTGCCCACCGTGGGCAGGAGAACTAGCCTGTCAATAATAAACATGAATAAAACAAAAATAATGAGGGAAAAAGTGAAAGAATTGGAAAACTTGAGAAACTTACACACGTGTGGCTTGAACTTACACGTAGTACAGTAGGAAATAGAGATTTGCTCGTGTGTCCCTATTTCATTTCCCTTTAATTTGTCAACTTCTCTTTCTGAAAGAAAAACTAAATCAAACATGTGCAGAAAATTAGCAACGTAATCTCAACTTTCTCTATAAAAATAAACAGTAGACTGATAAATATTTCTTGTAGGTGAAGATCTAAAGAGAGAGAAGAAGATGGCTGAAGATCAATTCTATGCCATGAATGAAGGAGATGGCCATCAAAGCTATGCAAAGAACTCATCTTACCAAGTGTGTCGGATGCTTGAAATTTCTTTATATTATCAGAATATGTCAACCAGTTATGGAAATAAATATGTTGTTGTTTTGTTTAAGTTCGTATTTTTTTTAAATAATTTGTGTTCAGTTGATTTTTTTATAAAATACATTTCTGCATCTTGAGTTTTACATGTTTTGATTATATCACTACAACAAAAATAGTCATTTGAAACATTAAAAAGGCAACATTTGTTGACAAATGTTGCCAAAAGGGTCTGTTGGCCACATTTTAGTAAGTGAATGTTGCCATTGGTTAATATAAATGAGTTTTGGCAACGTTTAAATTTTTTTACAACGCCATCTGTGGAAATCGTTCGTTTATTGAGTGTTGCGACAGATTTTACCTTTTGCAATGTTTGTCAAACGTTGCGAAAGGTGACAAACATTGCTAAAGGTAAAACCCTTCGCAACACTCAATAAACGTTGCTAAAAGTCACATTTCGCAACGTTCGACAAACGTTGCAAATAATATTCTGCCCATTGAAATGAATCCAATCACATTCCAAATTAATTTATACATGGGAACCAATAATAACCCTAATCCTAAACTCATTCACGTTTCCATTTTTGCCACCACCAATTTTCCAGCGACTTCCGGCCACCTAGACCGCTGGACATTGGTACCAACATAATCTCGTCAACATCCTCTACATTTCCCACCCAACAACTCCCATTTTCATCCTTTAATCTGCGCAGTCCCGAATGTCGCGACACATGCCACATTTTTCGTTAATTCCGGCGTTGTCCAGACGAACCGCGGTCTCGCACCAACTGGGCTGGGTTCGCCTTCACCTGGTGCACCCAGCCCAGCCATGGGTCTCCCCCAATTTGTCCTCTGTCAGCCTGATTTCAGTTCGAGGTTCAGTTTCAGTTTCCCTATACACAAATGGTGTGGGAGATGGAAATGGAGGTGAAGACATTAAACTTCCCATTGGGTTCAGATTCCCCATTACACATGTCTTCCCCATATTTTTCATTCATTGTACAAATCCCTCTATGTATTTAAGGTGATTTGAAGGAGAAGAGATATTTCTTCAGCAAGAGAAACATGAATGTAATGAATAATTGCAGCAATTTCAGTGCTAGCTGTGGTTACTAGAAAGCCACTGGCCAAGACAGCCAAATTGTGGCTCCTGGAACCAACCGAGTAATTGGAATGAAGAAATCATTGGTCTTCTATAAAGGCAACTATTATCGTGGTCGTGGGATCAAAACTCAATCGGTTATGTATCAATATTGCATTCTGGTTCCATCCTTCAGCAGAGGATGAGGTCAATGTTGCTTGCTTCCATCCTTCAGCAGGGGGTGGACTTGTATATGGAACCAAGGTAAACAACAAAAATGTGTCAAGAATCTCTAGTTTGATCTTGTACTCTATAAATTTCTTCTAAATTCTAAATACTGCAGGAAGGAAAGCTGAGGATTCTTCGTTGTGATCTTTCTCGTAGCTTTAAACATGAAGGATCTTGTTTTCCAGATGAAAACATGTTTGAGGTATAAGAAGGCATGCATTTATTTTCATTTGCTTCTTTTCTGTTGCTCAATCTGTTTTTAGATGTATGTTGTTTGGGGAATTTACTTCTAAGCCAAATTGAATAAGGGATTTGTGCTTGCAATAAGCTCGCAGAATATGTTTTTCATGCATATCCCCGATCAGTGCAATGATGCTACGTAAGGATGCAATAATTACAAGTCCATAGTTTACTATAGCATATTGAGTGACTGATAATCAAGCAGTCTTTCCCTTGTCAAAAGAATCTTATTATATCTAGGCATTTGCTCCGTTGAACTATCACAGAAAAATTATATTTGCATAAATTTAGTGAAACATCTTTGTTCTTTTTAATATGCCAGAAGTGATTCTAATTTATGGTCATTGGAGATATTTCATCGCTTGTTGTATTACGAGGTAAGCTTTGCTTATATGTTTCAGATTTTACCCAACTGAAACTCCTTTAGAAATAGATGTTGCTCCTTTATGATTGTAGATACTTGGATCTACATTTAATACAGCCTGACAAATGGTTAAGAATTGATGAACCATTTGATTATTAAACTTTTTGAGATTGGCATGCCTGTTGAACATACTTAGAGAATAACAATCTGGTTCCATCATATGCCTAATCCTCTGTTCTGTACCTTACATGCACCAACATCCAATATTCTTTCTCACAAGTTCATCAGGATGTTGTCCTTGACTCGATGTACCCACTGTACTGCTGGCCAGTCTCAATATTGTATTGTGAATGATCAAGTTATTGTGATTAAAGTTGCTCTTATTCTATATTATATATTAATCTTACTAACAATTAGCTAATTTATTCAAGGTTCCTTCATATGCATTGGAAGGCTGATTATTATTGATCAAGGGCAATGTATGAGATGTGATATAGCTTGATAATGGTTTTTTTTCCCTCCCAGATTTACTGCCTTTTGGGGTCTTCTGTTGGGGGTGATTATAATATTTAAAAAATTACATCTGGGGTATGTCTATGGATATGAATTTGTTTTGTTGGGGAAGATATAGTTGTATGTTGTGGAAATACAATAATGTCCAGTCCTTCTACACTAACTTATAAGTTCATTTTGCATCAATTGAATGAACTGATAACTTGAGTTAGTGACATTTATCGGCCATTCATAAATTGTGATTGTTTATACTATGTTTGTAATTGTTGCTAGTGATTAGTAGGTTTTGGGTTGCAGAGTTATTTATTCCTGGGTTTCAAGTGGCCTTAGTGGTATTGGGAAACAAGCTCATCATCAGAGAAGCTCTATAGAGGTTGGCTCAATTCTTAATGTTCTTGCTTAAGGAAGAGAAGAAGGCTGCTGAAGAACGTGTTGCAACCGTGAAAGCATCTAGAAATAAGAAAGAAAGTAGTTTATGTGTTCCGTTTATGATCGAATTTTTCCCTTACCATTTTATTTCATTTTGAAGCTCATTTTTATTTAAGTAGTGTTGTATCACATTCTAATTTTCAAGAGTGTGGATTCAAAAATTTGTAATGAAATTATCAATTTTTATACAATTCCAAAATTTATTCATAAGTTGCATTTTCAATTTTTCCAATCTATTTGCATAAATTGTTGCTGTTAAAAAAAACCCCATCCTACGTCAACATTTGGCAAACGTTGCAGTTGATAGATACAGCAACATTTGCCAAACGTTGCGAAAGATAGTCTTTCGTAACGTTTGGCAAACGTTGTCGTAGACTTTCGGCAACGTTCAAAAAACGTTGTCGTATCTCTCTACTCTACGACAACACTTCGATTTGCAACACACATCCAAACGTTGCCGTAGGCCTACGGCAACATTTTTTGAACGTTACCGTAGGCTGTTTTTGTTGTAGTGTATGTCTGGTTTTTATACAGGGAGGAGTAACAGAGGCTACAAAAGAAATTAGCAAGAAACTTGACATTGAAAATCTCTCTTTAACTTCTACAAATTCTATTCGCATTGCAGATTTCGGATGCTCTTCCGAGCCTAACACGTTTGTGGGATTCGAACCCTGGCTGAAATGGTGTGCTGCAAGAATTATATTAACAAAGGCACGTTTTCTACGAAAACGTTTTATCCCTTTTCATTACTAAGATGGTGACACATGGACTGATATGGACCGTTGGCTAATTTATCTGGAAGACTCTTTAAATTACCCTAATCGATTCATTTTGGATGGTTCGAGATACTCTCTACTTCTGCCTTTTGAGAGAAAAACTTAGGTTTTCTTCTTCTGGATTTCTCTGCTCAAATCTCTGATTTGAGGTTGTAAATCGTGAGAGTTTAAATCTCTGATTGTGATATTCTGTGTGAATATCTGTGAGAACTAAGGTTCTATTTTGAATCGTGTATTAGAGGAGTACTGTGAAGTTTCTTGGTGATTCGTTTTAGATCTGTTCATGTATTTGTGAGATAAGTGTTCTGTCTTTATCTCTTTGTACTATTTTAACGATTTGTAACATTCGTTGCCAATTTGGGGCAGTATAGTGCAACTGAGCTTTATCCAATTTGTTGGATGCTCAACGGGGGGATGTAGGCGTTTGATTTGGTCGCCGAACCTCCGGGGCTTAGGCCGAAACAATTCTAGTGTTGATTCTTTAATTTCTGTACTTTATGTTTCTGTTCTTTGGTTTAATATTGTGTGTCCTGGCCTTACAACGTTCAATGCAATGCAAATTATAGTTGAATCAATAAAGAAAAAAATTGAAATAGTTTCTCATCAGATGCCTGAGTTTCAGGTTTTCTTTAATGATCGGACCTCCAATGATTTCAATA